TAACGACGTCATGCTCGAGCTGAAAAGCATGACGCATCCACCATTATCGACTGTTGCCCACCCACCACCATAACCATCATTGATTTCAAGCTGTTCAACCCGGGCCTAATATGAACAAGGCTCGCGACCCAAGATGTTGCTAAGGACCATGCCTACTTGGCTAAATACGTCATGACAGTCATACAGGTCATACCCAATGACGATCAATGAAGCCTGGCCCAACAAGCCAAAGGCCATTGCTCCAACTGCGATGTCGAGTACCAACAAGTCGGGTTGGATATGAAGATCCAAGTCCACTCTTGTTGGGTGTTCTACCTTGAGGTGTTAAAAGGGTCATACCGACCTGACCCATTTAAATTTGTACCACTAAGTTATTCATCTCGTGCGGGTCGGCTCATATAATTAATCGGGTCATGTCGTGTTAGGCTATTTGTTAACACCATTGTTCATGACCCAACACAAATTCCAAATCCACATTGAAACGGGATGTGCTTGGGCTTGTGCCTCAGCCCAAGCACGAGCCCATTTAACTTTAAGTTTTTTTACTTAAATTTTTTTTTCTTATGTTAAGCATATTAAACTAACATTAGAATATAAATAACTACAATGAGGTGAAGGATGCAATTGCTGCAAATGTGTAAGGACGTCATGCTCGAGCTAAAAGCATGATGTGTCCACCACTGTTGCCCACCCTCACCACAACCATCATTGATTTCAAGCTGTTTGACCCGGGCCCATTATGTACAATGCTTGCCACCCAAGATGTTGAAAAAGACCCTGTCTACTTGGTTAAATACAAAAACGTCATAACGCTCATGTGGGTCATACCTAATGACGATCCGCGAAGCCTAGCCCAAAAGGCCAAAGTCCACTACTCCTACTGCGATGGCGAGTACCAACAAGTAGGGTTAGATATGGAGATCCAAGTCCACTCGTGCTCGATCTTCTATCTTAAGGTGTTAAAAAGGTCGTGCCGACTTAACACATTTAAATTTGTGTCACTGAGTTATTCATTTCGTGTGGGCCGGCCCATATAATTAATCGGGTCATGCCGTGTTAGGCTATTTATTAAAACCATTGATCATGACCCAACCCAAATTCCAAATCCACATTGAAACAGGATGTGCTCGGGCTCATGCTTGAGCCCAAGCACCAGCCCATTTAACCTTAAGTTTTTTACTTCAATTTTTTTGTTTCAACTTATGTTAAGCATATTTAACTAACATTAGAAGATATGCAATTACAATGAGGTGAAGGACGTAATTAGTGCAAATATGTAAGGACGCCATGCTTGGGCTGAAAAGCATGACACGTCCAACATTATCGACTGTTGCCCACCCACCACCAAAACCATCATTGATTTCAAGTTGCTCGACCCGAACCACTATGCACAAGGTTCGCGACCCAAGATGTTGCTAAGGACCATGTCTACTTGGCTAAACACAAAAACGTCATCATGCTTATGCAGGTTATACCTGACGACGATCCACCAAGCCTGGCCCAACAAGCCAAAGTCCACTCCTCCTACTGCGATGGCAAGTACTAACAAGTCGGGTTGGATATGGAGATCCAAGTCCACTCATGATGAATGTTCTACCTTGAGGTGTTAAAAGGATCGTGTCTACCCGACCCATTTAAATTTGTGCCACTAAGTTATTCGTGTCATGCCGACCGGCCAATATAATTAATTGTCCCATGCCGTGTTGGGCCATTTATTAAAACCATTAATCATGGCCCAAGTCAAAGTCCAAGTCTATATTGAAATAGGGTGTGCTCGGGCTCGTGCCTGAGCCCAAGCACCACCCCCTTTAACTTCATGTTTTTATACTTTAAATTTGTTTTTTCAACTTATGTTAAGCATATTAAACTAACTTTATAAGATAAACAACTTGCGAAACATTAATCATTGTTCGATGCGTAAATAATTAATTCTTGAATTACAATGTGTAGGCCCGCCAATATCCATTATAAAAGAAGCACACTTGAGTATCATTTATGCATTTTCGACCAAAAAAAATAGATTATCATTAAGGTTCCGCCATGGCTTCCTTTCCCCTACCTCCAACTGCCACCATCACTGCCCTTCGCTCCATCACCACCACAACTTCTCTCTCTTCCTTCCTTCCAAACAAGCCCAAACCACCTTCACTACCTTAAAGCCCCAAATAATGCCTCATGATCAGAGTCCTATGCATAGCAAAAAAAATGGTGGTGATGATCACCTAGAGCAGGGTCTAGCTAGACTTGATATGAGGAACATGCTCATGGGTCTAGGAGTAGGGGGTCTATGTTGCGCAATTGGTTTAGAAACTAACCTGTTTGTTTTTTACATGCATGTATCTGCCGCAGACCTGACCACATGCGTCAAGCTGCCCAACTTGTGCCCAATCTGCACAAGTCTCGCGACCCAAGATGTTGTCAAGGACCCTGTCTACTTGGCTAAATAGAAAAACGACGTCAAGATGTGAGTCCTACCCGACGATGATTCGCGAAGCATCGCCTAACATGCCAAAGTCCACTACTCCTACTGCGATGGCGAGTACCTGCAAGTCGGATCGAATTTGCATAGCCAAGTCCACTCATGTCGGATGTTCAACCTAGAGGTGTTAAATGCGCGGCCCATATAAATTTGTGCCACTAAGGTATTCGGCATGCTGGGCCGGCCCATATAATTAATCGAGTCATGACGTGTGCACATTTATTAAAACCATTAATCACGGACTTGCCCAAAGCCCAAGTCAACATTGAAACGAGTTGTGCTTGGGCTCGTGCCTAATCCCAAGCACCATCCCATTTAACTTTAAGTTTTTTCATAGGACGAAAGTTTTAGGACATAGTCAGTAGACCTTAGTTAACCTATAGGAAGTTTTAGATCGAAGATCGGAGGTCATGGGCCTCACGAGCCCAGTTAACCTAGTTGGTGGGCATGTCGGCTCAGTTGTCCAGATTTCTTAGTCATTGGACACACTTGGGACTACTCCCGAACAAGGGTGGATCCACAGAGGAACAAGGGTTGATCCACAGAGGAGCAAGGGTGGGCAATTGACCCCTGCAACCTCTGAAATCTGCCATTAGATGAGCAAAAATTGACCCTCGCAAGGTGTTCGATGAAATGCCCCAAAGGGGCAACTTGTCTGTCTGTGTGCTCCAGTGCAGCACGCGCGCCTTTATTTTTTTGTTTTTGACATTGTTTCAATTAATTTTTTTTTTTTTAACTTGGCTAAAACAACGTTGTTTTGGCACAGGTTAAAAAAAACAAACAAACTGGCAATAATTGTTGTTGCTGCCCCGACAATATCTCTCTCCTCTCTCCTCCCTCCCTTTCTTTTTTCTTGCTTTTCCTTCTCTCTCCTTTTAATTTTTTTTTCCTTTTCTTTCTCTCTTCTCTCTTCTCACTCTCTCTTTCTCCTCTTTTTGATGAAAACCATTTTTTTTTAATAATATTTATAATATTTTCTTTCTTTTCCTTATTTTATAATTAACACTCACAAATCCCTCAAATCTCGAGTGACAACTTCGTTTATAAAATGAAACAAGAGGAAACACAATTTCCTTACCAGGACTTCCTTCAATCTGAAAACAAAATCAAAATTAAAATGAAACAAGAGGAAACACAATTTCCTTACCAGGACTTCCTTCAATCTGAAAACAAAATCAAAATGGAATTCCTTTCGATTCTTGAAAGCTCATCAGATTTGAATTTATCTCTTGCTACTCCTTTAAACTAGGAAACATCACATGAAAATGTTGTGTTTCCACACTCCAATTTCCATACCGGTTCTACTTCTGTGCAAGCAGTAAACATGCATAATGAAATTCTATCAAATATACACTTGCATAATGAAATGGCAAGGAGGTCTAACAAAACTGCAGTGGAAGAGACCCAATTTCTCAATGCTCGCAGTACTGCTTCGGTGGCAAATTTAGAATTGCGTCTGCTAGCAAGGAACCAAGAATGTGCTTCATTGAAGGCTGAAGTTGTAGAATTGCAGAAGCTCCTCAAACAATCAAACCGAAAAAATCAAGACTTTGTTGAACTGTGTGCAAGTTTTACAAATACGTGTAAAGACTCGTAGATTATATTTTTATTGATGAATTTAGTGCTTTTAAAGACTCGTAGGGTACCACATATATTTGTCCTACAGCTACAACATTTATAAATTTTCTTAGGGCCTGTTTGGGAGTGATTTTGGAAGGGCCAAAAGCTCTCTCTGATAACTAAAAACGCTTCTGACAGCGTTTAGCAAAAAAGTTTAGAAGCGCTTCTAGGTCATAGAAGCGCTTCCTGGAGAAGCACCTGCTATGCGCTTCTTCAGGAAGCACTCCCAAGTGCTTTTCCACAAAGCACTTTAATTTTTTTTTATGAAAATTCAAGATTTTTATAATAAAAGTGCTTTTGTTAGAAGCGCTTATGAGTAGAAGTACTTCTTAGAGAAGTAGTCCCAAACAAGCCCTTAGTATCATCATAAATTTAAAGTTGCTTACTCTAGGCATTGAATCTTTGTAAGATCGGTTAATAATAATATGGTCTTAAATTTTTGTAGATTGGTTAATAATAATGTAGTGTATTCTAGACTTGTCTAAAAAAATTTGTGAGCTTTTATACGTTGACCTCCGAAGAGGAAATTCCTAGAACCGCAACTGGCCCCGAACCTACTGTTAGGGTTTCACACACTTAAGGTTCTGGGAAAGATAGGGTTTCACTTTAAAGTCTGGTTTTGGGTTCTCGGTTTATTTTGACAACTCTAATCAGCTTCCCAGGCGCAGCATACTGCTTCGAATGCACTCAGCTTGGTTAAGCGTGCCTGGATCTACAATGAATGAACATTTGTTTTCTAAACTGTTTTTGCAAGTAAATTGATTTCTAAACTGTTTTTGCAAGTAAATTGATTTATGAATGCAGTAGTAGGATCAGTTTGATACTTTTGAAATGGAAGGAAACAGGGCTCATACAAACATAGTTGATTTATAAGATAAATGCAAAAGTTCACAATTAAATGTTCTTGGTAAAAAAACAGAGTGATGACTTTTTTATATGAAAATAATATATTCTCAGTTCAGTTGCGTCCTTTCTCGTAAGGTTCTATATTCTCATACAAACAAAAATCTCAAGTATGCCTTCTGGAACTCCAAAATCAATACAGGAGGACCCGATCTTGTCGGTCAACTAGCAGGGTTTCCAACACGTGCCCTAATCACAGAAGAAATCAAATAACGGCTCTAGTAAAATTTTCAGTAGGATGTTTATGAACATTGTAGTAAGTAGTAGGAAGAATAATTATACCTGAGGGATCATTTGCTCCATTGAATATCTGCAAGGTGAATCCTGACTATCCTTAACAAGTCCTGGAACTGTCGGATTGATATTGTGAATTCACTTCATACAAGCAACATGGCTGGACTTCGAAAATCGTCTACAGACACAAGTAATTCCCTGATGACACTCTTTTGAGATCATTACTAACTCACTCTTCCTAAGTTAGCATTGCAAAGTTTATGTGCAATAGCACTAATAAGCATGCACAACTAAAACCAGTATTTCGGCAACAGTAATACTTCTACGCCAATCACGTCAAATTTTTAGAAAAGTGCATACAAGAACTGTTGTTAATAACACAACACTTCTAGAAATATACAGATCTTCTCCATATCTAATATAAGAAACTACCATCACTCATCAGAAAGAGGATGACTATGCAGCCCAAAACGGTCGCATGAATTAAAGGGATGATTTTCTAACCATCAGGAAGATGAGGGCAAAGCACGCCATTGGTTGACAAGAAGCATTACATCATCACGTGAAGTTTCTGAAAGCTGTTGAAGAATCACATCCTTGACATGAGCTGATGCACTTTCCCCACCTCGGGTAGCAAGTTCCAAGTAGACTACAGCTTTTATCTTTTCTCCTTCCTGCAGATATTACCGTTAAAACCTCCATCCGCCTACCATAACAAATTAAATACTTACGATAAAAGTACTTTTTTCTTGCTTCTAAATGAGAATAAATTATGATACAAATGCTACAGGGGTATATTTAACAGGTACACAAATGGCATTATTTGGAAGATTATTTAACAGGCTACCACATATCATAAAGAGCAGAATAATGAATCCTTGCAGCAAGATTATTTGGCCCTACAATCAAACCAGTGCCTCCCACCAAAACAATAACTTCATGAATGCAATAAATGATACATACAGAAAAAAGAGCGAGTCCATGCTCATATTGAGCTTTACTGTGCCCACGATCGGCTGCTCTCTTCATCCATTTTCTTGCTTGGCGATGACTGCGCGCTAACCCTTCCTCAAATTTGTAGCACAGTGATACATTGTACATGGCACGCACATAACCACCTTCTGCAGCTTTCAAATACCATCTTGCCTGTATGAAGAAAAGAAAACTTACCAAATTAAGTTCTGAATATGGAAGTACGTTGGGCCGATAGAGGAGCAGACAATCCTAATGCTATTCTCATTCAGAATAGCTGACTTTATAGCTGGAATTCAAAATGCAACTGCATTTGGTTAGGATATAACGACATACCGCCTCTTTTATGTTACGATCAACCCCACGGCCGTGATGCAGACAAAGTGCAAGCTGGTACTGGGCACGGGTATGGCCCTCATTGGATGCATGATATAACCATTTTACAGCTTCCTTTGGATTTGGAGGTTCAACTGCACAGATAATAATATTCATACGCACAAACAAGACTATACACTCAATGCAAACAAACAAACTTCCTGATGAAAGGAAATCAAACTCTGCCTATCATATGATATCATACAACATCATATAAAAGAAATAGCCACCATTTAATTACAACAGTGCATCAAATGTATTGGTTGTAGGAAATAATGAAAGGAAAGCATTTGAAGAGAAATCCATGTGCAACACGCTCCTATATTTAGTGTATTCAAAATAATCCGATCAAAGTTATGTACACGTAATGCATTAACAAATTAAAACTTAAATCATCTGAATCAACAAGGTAAGTTCTAGAATCTCACCTTAAATTTCACTTAACCCCAACTAGTTGGGGGCAACTACAATGATCCTACTTTGCCATTCTAACCAGCTCAAGGGCAACTATTTTTCTCAATGACAGTTAAAGTACATAAAAAGCAACCCAACAAAACACTTGGAAGCTTCTACTTATAGACGTGGATTAGCAAAAGAGCTCATAGAGGTATAACATTCAAGAATTTACATAAATGGATTGGCAAATGTACAATTTGAAACCGGATACGATATACGAGTAAATTCCAATTCCACAAGAATCAAACTTCTATCACTCTCTGTTCAAAGCCTCTAAATTTCAATATCATGACTATGATAAACAATACATTTGCTACTAAATAACCAGGGAAAATCAAACCTTGCAGATAGGCAATTCCCAAATTGCACTTCCCAGACAGGTCTCCCAGGTCTGCAGCTTTCTGATACAAAGCGACGGCCTTGTCCTTGAGGCCTCTCTCCCAGTATATAAGCCCGGCATCCACCATAGCCATGGTGGACCCCAGAGCCGCGCCTTTCAGAAACGCGTCGAGAGCCTTGTCCATGTTGGGCTGGACCCCACCTCGGCCGTGCTTGAACCGCTTTCCCCATCTCATATACAGCATCGCCTGTCTCAGCGGCTGAAGTGCCTCGTACCACGACTTACACGCCAACGACGCCGCTCTGAGGTTCGGGTGGCTCAGCGAAACCCCGATTATCATTATCAATTCGTACGGCAGCGCCGAGAAATCGCGACCGTCCGTTGAAGATGACGACGATGCTCTTCCGCTGGACATTCGATTGCTGTGCTTCGTCGGGTGGAGCTTGTGGTGCTTTTCACCCTTGGTGTTCCATAACCGAAAGGCCGTGAAACGAAGGCCGTCTGATCGGCCTGGCCATGTCGTGTGCTTCATCTTCGTTTATCAGGATTTGCAGAGTCACAGTCTCGCAGACCGATCGATTTGCAGAGTCACGGCCGCCCGACAGCGTCAATGGATGTTTTTGCTCATTTGATTAGATATGGGCCAACCAGGAGCGAGCCTGTTGATTGCCTCGGCTATTACTTGGGCTTCGGCTGAGTTTACGCAGGCCCAAGTGTTTGGAAAACTTCATTCAAAGATGGCCCACTTGGCCACCAAGCCATCCTACTTTTGCAATTGGAGTTTTTTTTTATTTTTATTTTTATTTTAACAAATTCCTTTCACCTCTTCTTTTTTATTGTTTAACCTACCCATCATGGTTGGTTCCTCCTACTAATCCGAGAGTGTAACGGAAATAAGAAGTATGATAATGAGATAAACAAAGAATAAGAATCAGATCAACTACCCACTTTTAGTTGATTTGATTCATAGTTTTTGTGTATTTGATTAAGAAATTTAAGGTGGAATCCGTGTATTATATAATTTATTATGTGTAAGTAAACACGGAGCGGAACTAGGAATTTTTTAACTGGTGGGCTAGCTGAAGGATTAGGGTAAAATCTAATGAACTTTTTTTTTACTTGCAATTTCTATAGTCATTGTTAATAATATAAATCACGCTAGTTCATAGCTCAATTGACTAGTTTTCAATAAAATTTAACATAAAACAAATACATATTAAATGCAACAAAAAAACAGATATTATCAAGCATATGTTCAACAACAAAATTGAAAGTGTACCTATTTCAATATGTACATTTATTGCTGCAATGCAACTAAATTCATAAATAATTAAAAAAAATTTTGGACTTTATTAGATTAATACGTACTGAGTTTTATTTAAAACATGCAAAATATATAGGTTTGATTTTTTTTACCACCCAAAAACATCCATGGGCTCAGCCCACCTTAGTCATTATGGAAAATATTTCCCTTTCTTCTCGTTCTCATTGCTTGCAAGTTTACCTGATGCATTCCTCTTATTAAGCTTGAATTAATGTATCACTTAATGCCCTGTTGAATTACAGACTCACATTATTATAATTAGTCTCTCTAACGTACCAACAAAGAAGGACTCGAAAATGGTGCATGTATGACCTAAGATTTGTATGGACATGGGGGTAGAGTCAAACATGCCAGTGGAGGGTTTGCCACGCCCAATATGCAGACAGTTGCGCATTTTGTTTGGTGATGATGGTGGCTCCCAAATCCCACTAAGGAAAAAAAAATGGTTGCTAGATTTTGAAGCATGAATTCCAAGTACTAATTCCATTGTCGCCAGAGAGTGAAATTGGCCCCCCACATGCCACCCAATCACTGAGTTTTTTCTATGTTTAATTTCTGTAGCATATTAATCAGAGTTCAGTTTACACAAAAAAGTTGTCAATTTCGAGGAAAGAGATAGCTCGCAGAAGGGGGGCATGTGCCGCCCCCACAAAAAGATCTTGAGCCTTTCAGCTCAGTGTTATGGATGCCACCAGGGATTAGCTGCACATAGACTGTTTTACAAATTGACAATTAAAAACTAAAAGAAACTGCAAACTGATCTGGTTTTTGGATATGCTTTTATGGCTTGATGGGTTGTTAAAAGTCAAAACTTTGGGGGTGTGATGAATAAAAACTTAGATATAAACAAGTAGGATTTTGCAGTTTTGTGAATCGTGATTAGTTGAGTGCATTAATAATCACTTGTTTGGGTTAAGTAAACATTTGGTAACTTATTAAACGGGCTCTCTGTGGCATGTTCTAGCATAATCACTCATTAACAATTCTTTGCGCAATTGTCGTTTTTCAATAATAGAAGTGAGCAAAGTTATATAAATGCAAGGATTGGGTTACAATTTTAATCCACTCCATATACATGTGGTCTCCAATAATGGGGGGGGGTTTTAATATTTAACAAAAGACTAAAAATTAATAAGAAATCTAATCCAACATGTAGTGAACATTGGCATGCCAAAACGACTGCAAAAAAAAATTTGTATGAAACGAGAATAACACTGTTTTGTTATTCTCAATTAATCGCAAATTGTCACGTGGTTGATCAGGAATAGCAAAATAGTGTTATTCCCCTTTTTTCTCCTCCCAATTAGCATTTGCTGTCTCAGCCCAGACATACGTGTTGCAACCTTATTGTATCAGAGGCTGCTGTGATCCGAAGAAACCTTTGTTTAATCCATGCACACAAGAAAACCTCCCCTAGGTGAACCGCTTATTGGCACTTATTTATTTCAGACTTTCAGTACATACTTTCCCTATGAGCCTAGAAAACAATTGGGTTTCTTTTCTTGCTTTCTCCATGAACATTCCATATTCTATTGCAAAATGCAAACTTTAATACATTTAAATTACATTCAGATAGAATAAGTGGGTTCCTCAATTATTGGTGCTGCAAAACTTGAGCTCGAGAAAGGGCTAAATAATAAGGACCATTCAAACTTCACATAGGATCCTCTCCTAATTTTCCCCTCCCTCCACTTCCACATGTGATTTGTCTTCTACCATGAGAGCTATCTATCAGAATAGCACGAGAGAGAGAGAGAGAGAGAGAGAGAGGGAGAGAGAGAGAGAGAGAACCTGCCCTTTCCTTCCCTTCCCCACTAATATCATAAAGAGTCCGAGGTGGGTGGGCGGTCATCAGTCTTCAGTCTTCAGTCATGGCGTGTGGGGCACTTAGATCATGCATAGACCAAACTCTAAGTCTAAAGAGAAGATGATGGCAGAGCTAAAAAGCCCAGCTGGGCCATGGCCAAAGGTTTCTTGTGGGGCTTAGTTTTGGTTAGTCAGTCGATCAGTCAGCCAAAGGAACAGAGGAACTGCATCACCTTATCTTTTTAACCCATTGAAAAGGATTTAATTTATTGCCCTCTATTGTTGATTTTGACAACTTTTGGATGCTTACTGACCAACATTTTGACTGCGATTTGTCATGCCTGCGCTGCGCATGATCATGAACAGAAGAAAATAAATTCTTAAAGAAAGATATCAAAGTTGAATGAGGAACAAGAGACAAGAAAACGGAGCAATCTCTCACTCAGCAGATACAGTCTACAGAAGAAGGAAACTCAGAGCAAATATTCACGAGCACCGTATCAGATTAAGAAGCATGCAAACGAAACGAGGGTTCATTAACCAATAAAGCTAAGATTGACGATCTTTTATTTATTTATAATAATTACCTATACATAATTATCTCCTAGCTAGCTACCTTCCCAATACAAAGATCCTAAAGATCATGACTTACTGCAGACTAAAAATGAAAAAGTGATAACCCAAAAAGAGAGAGACAAAAAAAACGCCACAAAAACTAAAAGATTAGGAAAGAAAAGAAACAAATCATTAACGGAGCCAAAAGTTTTGAACTTGCAATTCCAAAGTCAATTGGCCCTTTCAACATGGCGTATAAACACAGTTTCTAAGTCGGGAGGAGTGAAGAACTCCCTAACACCAGCGCCATAATTACATTTCGAAGCAGCTGCTTTCCTCTTCCTCGGAGGAGGTGGACACGTCAGCCTCGTCGGAATTCTGGCTTCTTCACCCGTCGGGGTCGTCGAACACTCCTCCCCGTCATCGCCGCAGTGATCCCGTTCTGTCTCTACGGGGTTTGTGTACAGCGGCTTCAACGGAGCTCGTAATGGGATTCCGGCGATAACCCATTTTTGAGTTTCAGAATCCAAGCCTATGTCCACAGGAGTTGGCTGAGACTTCCCAGAAAAGCCCATTTCTTTGTGGACCAATTGAAGCGAACCCAGTGAGATAATTATAGGAGAGAACAAAGGATCGAATAAATAAAGATGGGTTCTTTTTATTTTTCTTTCTCTGATGCGTAAAGGGGATGAAGAAACAGAGGAGGGAATAAAATGAAACCAGTGGGAAAGGCAGGTAAAAGAGAAAAAGGAGGAAGATGAAAACTGGAAAGAGGCTTTGGGTTTTTGGTTTGTGTTTCAGTGAAAGAAAAAAGGAAAAGGGAGGGAAGAGAAAGGTCGCGCTTTAAATGTGGGAGAGTAATGTTTCGATGTTCTGTTTATACCAATCACTCAAATCTGTCACAGAGTCTAACAGAGATAGAGGAGTGAGAGAGAGAGAGGTGGGGAGAGAGAGAAAAAGAACCCGAGGAAACTCGTGACATAAGCAAAGTAATAAATATTAAATTAAATTAATGAGAGGAAGAGAAAATAAATACGAGAGGATGAGGTGAAGGGGTGCCCGTGGAAATAGCTGACCGCGGTCCGCGGACGGGCTGCAGTGGTGAGGTGGTGGCCCACAGCTCACATGAGTGTGGGGTCCACGTGGGATAGGCGTTGTAGGGTGGGGCTTGCACTTATTTGTCTCCCTGAGCAGCAGAGTGCAGGGTGCTCTGGGGGCAGAGGATCGCTGCTCCGACGGTGAGTGAGGGGCAGAAAGGGAAATGACTTGGATTTTGGCGCCAAGATTTGGGGTCTGGGGATCACCAACATTGCTCAAATATTCCCCTCTTTTTATAGACGCCAGCCCTTTTTGTATTTCCGTTTTTATCTTTGGCAGGCTAGCATGCCACTTTCCATTTTATCTTATTTCTTTGATTGGAAATGGTAAAACATATATGCTGGAAATAATCAGATGACGTGTCCAATTGTAAAAGATCATAAACGCAAAAACTGGTAGGTAAAGTTATTATGACATTCGAAAGTTCTAGATTTGATTCATCCACCCTTAATATAACTTGTATTTTTTTCAAAAATATCAATAAAAATATGAGTTTTCATAAAATAAAATAAAATCTTAAATTCATTTTAAACAAATCGAAATTTGTTATAAAAAAACACACACACACACAATGTGTACATATTTTGGTGGTATCTTTTTATATTTTATTTCTGTATATATATATATCAAATTTTGACTCTAAAGTAAGAAAGAATGACTCGCTCCCTTAATATAACTTGTATTTTTTTCAAAAATATCAATAAAAATATGAGTTTTCATAAAATAAAATAAAATCTTAAATTCATTTTAAACAAATCGAAATTTGTTATAAAAAAACACACACACGCACAATGTGTACATATTTTGGTGGTATCTTTTTATATTTTATTTCTGTATATATATATATATCAAATTTTGACTCTAA